ATTGGAGTGCCAACGCTCTGCAGAGCGCAAATTCTCCGCCTCAACAGCTTATATGGACGACATATGATATTGTTGTTCTATAAAACGTTGACCCTATTACTAAACTCTTTCGACTTCCTTTGTGTTCACGTCCATTCAGCTGTAAGACTGCTTTTCAAGTCTAACTTTATGCAATGTTAGGATAAATTGCCCCTGGTTGTGTGGTGGCACACTATCTAAGAGGTCGGATTCAGACCTCAGAGGGCAGTCTGTTGTAAGAACGAATTCCTTTGAGCAAACAGTTTGCCACACGCTTCTTCAGACCGGGGTTGCTGAGTAGGTAAAGCGTCAAGCTCGAACCGACCGAGAGGTCCCAGATTCGAAAGCCGGTCAGATCGCTCCTCTTTCTTTCTTATGAGGTTAAGAACTGAGTGCCATCTTGTGGGAAGGAAGCAGAGGGACTACCAGATATGCGGGCTATAGAGCCATAGAGGTCTCCTTATTTAAATAAGGCACTCCTGGCTTATGTCATGGGAAATGGAAATGCGCACTACCATTGATTTGATGAAAAGAAGGGCGCTAGAATGGTCCCATCACAAAAGTAAGGAAGACAGACATTCCAACGGTTCCTTCCAGTTTTCCTGATGCTCCTGGTTCTAATGCTGGTAAAACAAGTACTTCTCGGAGGTAGCTGGGTAAACGCATCGCTTTGATGGTCAGCAGATGCTAACGAAAAAACTAACTGTCATACATCGATTACTTCGTGGTCATGGAGCCACTGGCAGATTGCCTCAAGCAGACAAAAAATTCAAGCAAAGCGATTCCATATTTGATCAGCTCCTTTGTGTGTTCTACGACTGCGAACCTCACCAGAATCGTGAAGCACGAACAGCAGCCTATTAAACGGCCTTGGCCCGTAAAACGCACAAATAATTCCAACTGTAAATGAACTGGTGATCCGCGCATCGGGCGCTCTGTTTCAAAGCGATTTCCTCGACAGCGCTTATGGCGTCGTCAAGTGAGTTTTTGACGCCTGCCTCTCGAACATCCAACTCTTAACTTGTCCCCCCTCTCACCCCCTCTCCGTCAAACCCGCCATAAGAATCGGCACTCTGGCGGTGTCATTGCGTGAGTGTTTTTATGAGTTCAGCTTTCAGTTCAACAACACCCTCTGAACGTGGCGAGAAAAACTTTTTACTCTACCTGCAGGCGGCAGGTGGGCGACGTGGTGGCAGATGGACGCTTCGCCTCGCAACGTGACCTGACGAGAGGCGACAATGGTGCCCTCGGCTTTCACTCGCGTTCCGGACAAAGCTCGGTCCCCGCCGCACACGTAAAATACGCTTTCGACCGAAACTTCCGTCGGGCGTTGTGAATAATTTATGCATTACTATTTACGTATCCGTCAGCGAACGGTGCACCCCTTACAACTGCTTTAGAACTTTCCCGGGGGGACGTTTTGCATGGACCTTGAAAAACGGAAACTGCAGCAGACACCGGTGCGAAACACCCTGCGATCTGCGGCTACTTTTGTTTAAAGTTAAAACCGAAATGCCAAAAATTGACATCGCGTTTCATGGAGCGTAGAATCTGTTTTTGAACCATCGAGCGGTCGGTCGCACCGCATCTCCTGAACAAAGTTTGCTGGTGACACTGTAGAGATTTCAAGACCTGATTGCTGCTAGTTCTTGGAAGGAATCCTGCGCCGCTGAAGATCTCACCGTTTGCTCACAGGTCGAACTGTCGTAGCAACCGTCTAAGATTGGTGAAAATTACAATTTTCATGAATGGATGTAAGATGGTTACGGTAATTAATTAATTAAGCAACTTTCACTTGGTTTTGCTGTAATGTCGTAGCTACGCTGAAAACGTTGCAACTATCGGTTGTATATGTATTTGCCTACGGATAGTGGCAGGTTTGGTTGGTGCTAGAATGCGGTGTTGTTCAGACCAGCTAGGTGATGCGATCCTGCTTAAGTAGGAATGGGCCATGTCCTGGTTAAATGCCCCCATAAGGCAAATAAAAGTAAGAGTATGATGCAGTTACACGGAGTAACCCACTGTCAGAAATTGATTATGAACGGAATTGCACTACAACAATGTCGTAGCCTCCTCGGGAACATCATGGTTATCCTTTGTCTTAAACTCTTTTCAACAGCATGATAAGTGGAATTAGTTCTGGAAAAGACTTCATAATACTGTGACGTTCATGAGCTTTCTATAAATCCAACCTCTCTTCCATGTCATAAACAGGGACCAACTCAAGGTCAGTTATATTTCAGCCCAAAGCGCGTAGTTGAGCGAAAAAACCTACGGTCACTCCAAACGATTCGTAACTTTCGCGTTATTAGTTAAGGTCTGATCTGGCGACCACCTTCATTTCATTTAGCTAAGCCCATCTATATAATAGGTGATCCCACGCAAACGACGAGGAATAGTTTGCGGCTCTCCTGAATGTATTACGACGAATAACTTCATATGCGTGATGAACTGCATCGTACTGTTGTAGTACTTTCAGGTTGCAAAGTACTCACATTATTGATGCTACCTACTGGTATATTGTTCGAACTGACTGCCATGCTGTTATGTGCATCCACTCATTGCACATTGTCAAATATCATGCAGCTGTGGCGTGCTTAGGTAGCCCCTTATGCTTCTGCAAAAATGCCCTCTGCGCCACTTTGCCGTATTCCCAGTGTAACCTATTGTTTGAGTCACTTTCTAAAGGTATCATTTGTATAAACGATGAGTAGTTGGCTTGGAGTGTAAAGTCAGGATGAAAAGTATCGTTAACCTAACAGATAAAGCATGATCTTTGAACATAGATGATGCTTCGAACGGTCTATGCAAATTAGCTTACAAATCATATACAATCTGTTTCGGTTTGAACGGCTTGTACGGTGACATAAGCTAGATTGACAGTGCGACGATAGGAAAACGACGATTTCACACAGTTGGTCATTCCAGGTCTCGTTGCAGTCATCCACGGTATGACACGACGAACCTAAAATCCGTCTGCAATTGTACAAACAAGTAAAGTCCGTTTCACTTAGTATGCCTAAGTGAAAATTGTATCACTACGTGATAGCTTCAGTACATAAATTTAAGCAAGGAGACCACCTCAGACATGTGGTAATACTGTTACTGGTAGACAGATTTTATGCTGGCTACCAGGAATATGCACTGTTGTTGCTATATCTCACATCGATTAGACCTGCTTTCCCGTAGCCGGTTATTCGAATAGTCAAAACAGCCATATTCCGGCCGCAATTAAACTCTATAATACCAGTGATGGATTATTATATATGGTAACTTTCAAAAGCTCAGCACGGCGTAAGGGGTTATTAGAATAACGAGTAACTGTACACTGAGCATTGATATTTTGGCCTATGACTGTACCCAGCTTGGGTCTTTGTCCTTTCGGTTCTACTGCAAAGTTAATCAGCAGAATCAGCCAGAGGTATTGATCGACCGCAAGTGTTCAATACCAAAGGAGGTGAAAAGCTTAAACGATTCCCAGGGCACTTTGGAGCAAGGTGTTCAACCATGTAGCTGAAATTTGGTTTAAAGGAGATACGTGAGGTAGAAAGACTCATACGTTCTCAGCATGCAGGCAGTTTCGATGACCGTCTATCATTTTGGATTGAGGACGCAGACGTGTGCGATTCCTACATTCCAGACACTGTGCCATCGTTTGAACTTTGGCTAAAGATAACCTCAGTCTAAAGGAGAATCTTTCGGTCCACTGGTCAGTTGGGCAAGAGGTAGCAGTTTCGCATTCCCCTTTGGGGGCATTCGCAAGACTGTTCAAACTGTCGCACCCGTCTTCAACCTGAAGGTACAGCGGTTGTGCACCAAGGCTCTGGCAGATTTCTGTACTCCAGATCATGTCGAATCGCGCATCGCCAGCGACTCGTCTCAGAAAGCACATTTCAGCCACTTCGA